TGCATACCAAGTCATAGCCTTCAAGGTCAAAATCCATTCCTCTTACAGTGTTGATCCAAGTCTCAGTAATAGCAATTATGTTAAAAGAACGTTTTAGACTACTAAGATAATGTTTTATACTCTGAAAGTTTGCATATAAACTTCTGCTATTAAAGTGAATTAATGATAGCTTGTTCTCAGTCTTGACATTGCTGTTAAACTGCTCATCCGTGTAATACTTGCAGTTATTTTCAGGGTTCTTAAAAAAATTTATTTCAGGGTCAAAATCTTCGTCCGGCTCATGATAATGAAATTCAGAGTCTCCAGTAGTGTTCAGTTCCAGCTCCAGTCCCTCAAAATCTATTAACTTCTGTAACAAATCACTTGCCTCATTCCGTGCATGGGTCATACTTGTTGTTGTTAGTTTCATCGCTCATCTGCCGTCGCAGATATCGATATACCTGCGTGACTCTTCAAACATCAGAGGGTCCAGCGACCCCTTCATATCCTTAAGTACAAAAAGTGTGGAAAAACTGGACATTTTGCTCGTGTGTGTCGCTCTGCCCACACTCTCCCAGTACATGAATACGGATTAATGAGTCCTTGCTGTGGTTATTCTGACCCTAACAGCATCGTTGTGTCTTCTGATATCATAGTTAAATGTAAAACATTTTAAACTGTTTTATAAGTTAGATTTTTGAAGGGGTATACAGCAGCAGTAGGGTCCGGGCCTGCGCCAGCTGCAAAGCCTAGCAGCTCGGGAATACTGCGGGGAGGCCTGTCAGAACATTGCAGTGGAAGGAGAAGGAGGGGCAGTGCTCGATGGTGGAGCGAATCTGCTCCGATAGTTCCAACAGCTGTTACAAGTGCAGCCACATGTTGTGCTGGGTCATTTCTTTTGTCACCCAGGCGTTGATGCGTGCCATTGCCACTGCAGAAGTGGTGCCATGGCTGTCCCAAATTCCTTCACTGCCTCTGCAGGGAGAGCCCCGGGCTGTGCAGTGAGGGAGGAAGAAAGAATGCGGAGACTCAACATTGTTAATCCCCGTACCTGCCTGGGATACGTGTTAATGAATGTGGTCCGAGAAGCGAGCAGTGACCTGGTCCCGTGAGAGTGGATGAGTGGCCTGCCTCCTGCCAAAGAACTTTGCTTTGGGAAGCAAGATAGAGAAGATGCTTGCTTCCAGCGGCGAAATGGCGAGAGGCTGGGTTGGCCAGATGGGGGTGCTTGCTGTGCTGCTTCGTCTGTAGAAGTCACCCATCAAGTTCGATAACAGTTCAATAATAACTATCCGAATGGTCCTGTTTTTCACATGTCAACATCAAGAATGGCTGAGCTGATGTGGGATCAAGTCTATAGCTGCCAATTTATAAATGCATGAAGTTCTGAGCTGGAATTTTTGGCTTTTTCTTCACATAGAGAAATTTTATGAAAATTAAATCACAATTTATCATTTTGTCATCATTCTATTTTCCTCAAATGTTCATGAGTTTGTGAGTGAATGAGTGGTTTGACATTCCAATGAAAAGTTTCTCTCCCCCCCAAAAACTCACAAGATATTTTAGGATCTTTAAAAAGTCATGTGTTCTTGGCAGTGAGAGAAGTTAACCGAAACACATTTAGAGCCAGAAACACGACCTTGGTATCTCAGTGGGAGCAACTGGCCTGTCATGTCTGTGATACTGTATATGTGTGTGAATATGAACTTGAGAACAAGCACATTCAGAGTGAAATGAATGATGACTTGAGAGAATCCAAATACAATGTTGATGATTTTATTAACTTCAGAGAACTGATCATTCATTACATTGTAGTTGCTGGTGTTAGTTTATGGCTTAGTTTTGGCTTGGGAGAACAACTTCTTCAGGTGTTTAAATATTTCTTTCATTTTCAGTCCATAAATGATTGGATTAAAGAGAGGATGATATAAAATCACTTGTAAACTCATTATTAAACTTACAATCTTTGGAATGTGTGATTCCAGTCTAACTATAATGACATCGTATGTACACAAACAAGAAAAGTTAATCAAAACGATCAGATGAGGTAAACAGGTCTGTGCAGCTTTTTTTCTGACTTCTCTACTGCTTCGATAGGATATTATAAGTATCCTGATGTAGGTAAAAAGTATGAAAAGCACAGGGAGAATTGCAAAATTGACAAGCATGATCATATCATGTATAGTACGTGTTGTTGAAATCACACACTGAAGTTTGTAAATTACATTGTTGCAAAAGATTCCTTGTAAAGTATGGCTACAGAGTTTTTCTTTGGCAGTCAAACCAGTTGCTACTGCCATCTGACATGCAGGCATAAGCCAAGCTAAAGGTAAGAGAATACAAAGAGTAGTTTTTCTCATGATAACTGGATACTGCAGAGGTTTACATATGGACACATACCTGTCATAGGCCATGGCTGCCAACAACAAGAACTCTGAACTGAGTAAGGAGTAAAATATATCAAACTGAAAGAGACAGGCTGAATATGATATGATCTGTTTCTCAGATAAAAAGTCGACCAACAGCTTTGGGTAGACAGTAGTGCTCAAAAGAACTGAGTTGATTAACAAGGCTGCAATGAAAATGTACATAGGCTCATGGAGGTTTTTGTGAATCCAGATGAGACACACAATAGTAGAATTACTGCAGATGATTAGAATATATACTGCAAATATTACCACAAAATAAACATACCTGTATTTGGCTACATCCACATGCCCCCAAAATGTTAAATATGTTACATTCATCAATTCATCATCCATTAAAGTTGTTAAAAATATGTGAAAAAAAGAGCAGTTTATGCAAAAACAATGCGGATAATCTCTGAAAGATTAACTGTCACTATTTACCACATAACCTGTACTGGAAAGTCTTTCTCTTTTACCTGACATTTAGTCACACAGAGTGTACTCTTTTCCAGAATTCAGAGAGTGAAGTGGCAATGTGTGTGGAATATGTTTTATTATATTTCTTCATTCTCCATGGGGCTCATTAAACTCTTCATCAAAAAACCACCCACATCACAACCATATGTAGATCAGACCACTGAGTCTAAGTAGAGAGCGTGAAGTATATCTGAGTTTTAAGAAGTACATGTTGTCATTGGTGCACTGGCCCAAAACTGGAACCTCAAGAGTCTCAGTGGAAATCACCGCTGATACTGTATCTGACAATGGCCCCATCCATATGTCACAAGGGGTCACTAAATGGGTCAATGAATATGAAAATGATATCAATCCTACGCTATGGGTTTCGCAGTCACCAGGTCTCAACTCAACTGAACATCTACAGAAGATGTTGGACCCACATGTGTGGTGGAAATTTCTGTAATAAAAGAACTCAAAAGCAAGAAAGATGTTTTTGGATATACAGTATTAATATGTTTGCAAACGGACACTCAACATTCAGCAAGATGCTTCAAACTGAATGTGTCTGACTTTTCCTTCTCACCCCAATTTGTACCCAAGCAGCACAAATGGCACAGAGTGACTGTCACCTTCCACTTGTAACTACAATAAACAATGTCTCCCTTCCCTTAAGACATTTACAATACAATGAGCATTTACTACATACAATATATCAAATAACTGGACAAATCTAGAAGAAAGATAGGAAAGCACTTTAGGTCTGCAAGCATGTCTCACCACAGTCATAATAAAGACAACTGCTAGCATTTAATCCCATCAAAAAAGGATTTATATTAACATCAGTGTATTTAGATTCTTCCACTACAACATGTTAGACAGTGCTCTCCACCACCATCATCATTTTACAACAACCATCTCTAGTTTACATTAAAATGCAAGCAGCTCCATTAGGCCAAGAGGGATTCCTACAGAAGTGGGAACAGAATCCTGTACAACCAGGCCAGAAACACACTGACAAAGGAGCTCAGAGTAGCAAAGATGAGCTACACTGAAAAGCTGAAGAGCCTGTTTTCAGCCATACAACCCTATGTCACTATGGAGAAGCCTGCAGGACATCACCAGGTACAGAAAACCATATCCCCAATGCTGCGATGTCTTTTCGATACTGAAGGACACCACAACCCTGCTGTTGGATCACTGTAGTTTGCCTACTGGGCAAACAAGTTGGTGAATGAAGCAGTCAGCATGACACTGCATTTCATCCTCCAACACCATCATCCCAGACATCCTCCACTCCAAAGTGACCCATATCCAACCCCGAGACTGTCAGCATAGGCACCCCCAGGGATGTTTGCTCTCCCCGCTGGTCTACTCCCTCTACAACAATGAATGCACCTCAGGGGACCCCTCTGTTAAACTCTTCAAGTTCACATATGACAGAAGAGACATCGGTCTCATCTGAGACGGTGACGAGTTGGCCTACATGACAGTTGGTCCTGTGGTGTAGTCACAACAACCTGGAGCTGAACATGTTAAAAACAGTGAAGATGACAGTTGACTTGAGGAGGAGCCCCCCTAGCAGAGGATGTACTTCCTGCACCAGTTCAGGAAGTTCAACCTGCCCCAGGAGCTGCTGAAACAGCTCTACAGAATCACCGAGTCTGTTTTCTGCACTTCCATCACTGTTTGGTTTGGCTCAGCAACCAAACAGGACAGGAACACATTCCAGTGGACAGTTCAGACTGCCCTCCACAAACATCCTGTACACCTCACAAGTCAAGAGGAGGGCAGTGAAGATGTCTGCAGACCCTTCACATCCTGGACACAAACTGATTGAACTTCTCCCCTCTGAATAATGCCACAGAACACTATATGCTAAAGCACCAGACACAAGGACAGTTTCTTCCCCTGTGCCTCTTATGAATAGTTAATCCATGTATGTCAGTATGACAGGATCACAAACAACCCTAGCACAATAGTTTGTCTGCAGCAGGGCCACTGACATGAGGGGAACATTGGGTCACTTGTCCCAGGCCCTGGGTCAAGGTCCAAAAACCTGTAAGTAGTCTAATAAAATAATTAGTCAAAAAACATAGTTGTGGAAACTTTATGTAGTAATTGTGACTCAGGCAAAAAATGGTTTGGTCTCTCACTACTGTAACAGGGGTTCAACACATTCAGTAAACTTCACAAATGGCCAGACACAAAAGTCAGGTGCCCAGAAAAGAAAAAATTAAAAAGACAACAGATGTGCATAGGACTCTAAAAATATATAGTAAAGTGGAAGATGAAGCTTCAAGTACAAGTAGCCTAACATCCCCACTGGTTATTATAGAGAGCAATGTGAGACATCAGTTTAGCTTAAACATCTGGCAAACACGGCTGGATGGTAGCTGTGTCAGAGAGGAGAGACAGAGGAGGAGAGACCCAGCCTACAGGTGAGAGCAGGGCGGGGGAGGCTAGCTGCGATGGAGAGGAGATCACCTTGCCCTGGCACATGAGCAAAACACACAGTGGGCCTGGTCTGCAGTGAAATAATTTGTAAATATAACCATTTAATATATTTTTTTTAATCTAAAAATCCTTCCTTTCTATATTTATAATACATTGTTTTGTCTTTTCTTGTGTGGCCAACATACTTAGTCAATAAAGCTGATTGACAACGATTCTAACTTTGGGAAGTCAACTCAGGACAAATCGCACAAGTGTTCTGCACAGGCCTGACCCCCCTTGGCCAAGCTCAAAAGTGGAGCTACCATTAGCCACCTCCTCTACATGGATGACATCAAGCTGTATGCCTGTATGCATGCTGACTCGCTGATCCACTTGACACAGATCTTCAGTGAGGACATCAAGATGTCATTCGGACAAGAAAAGTGTGGCCAGGTGACTGCCGAAAGAAAAGAGATGGCTGAGACTGATGGGGTAGAACTGTCACCAGACCACAAAACAGACATACAGACCAGCTACAAGTACCTGGTATAATAGAATCACAAGTGAACCACTATGAGAAGGCAAGGACGGGAACATCCAAGTACCATCAAAGGATAAGACAGGTCCTGAAGAGCCAGCTCAATGAGAAGAACAAGATCTGAGTCATCAGTACATATGCTCTGTCAGTCATCAGATACCCTGTCAGTATAATGAGCTGGCCAAAGAGGGACATAGAGCCTGCCAATGCCAAGACCCAGAAACTCCTCAAATGCATGGACGTTTCTACCCCAAGTTCACTGGCCATAAAGAGGGTGGGTGGGGCCAAGTTATATATAGATATCCTGGGTGAAACCCACATCATCCAGGAGTACATCTGTGAGATGTTACCCAGAGACAAACTGCTGAGAGGAAGGATGTCTGAGAGAGCAGCAGACAGAAAATAAAGATCAAGCAGTGAAAGTATCAAAGCAGGACGAGACCCTGGATGGGATGTACTAATGACAGATAGCAGAGGTTGCTTTACTATTTTGACAGTCTGATCATTTAAAATTACCACATCTGGTCTCATGAATGAGAAAGAGCCAAAGTTAGCTAGACCCCCTCCATTCTCCAGCATGAACACAAAAATATAGTTTAGTGGAAACCACTTTTAATGTTTGTAAGTTTGGCTAACTAGCTCTCACTTTATGAGTGAAATGCATGACAGGTCCTCAGGGAGCCAAGGACACCACACTATCATATACACAACAGTTAAATGTTTCAATCATCACAGCTTTACTGTCTTTACATCTATATTCTGAAAATTGTTTTGGCTCTGTGTGTAAGTACAGTGACAGCAACAAAAACAAAAGACAAATTAGAATAGAATCTTTATTGTCATTGCACAATAAGTACAATGAAATTGTATACAATCCCATTCAGTGCAGAGAAGCTGTAAGGACTGCTCGAACACAACAGTGAGCAAGTCACAAAAATAGACGGACCCAGGTGGCTGACTTCGGTGCAGACAGTGTAGTTTATTTACAGTGATGTATAAGTGACAAGAAATGAACAGTTGAATAATACAGGGACCGGGTGTCGAGCATAGGAGTGTACACAGTCAATGATGGAGATGATGCAAAAAGGACCGGGCTGCGGACATTGGGATTCACTCCTGGGGCCTATTTCAAGAAGGCGGTTTTGTCGAAACTCAGAGTTTGTTAACCCCGAAATGAGGGCAACTCGGAGTTTTCGGTTTCAGAAACGGAGGTAACTTAAACCTGTGAAAGCGGGGTAAGTTAAACCCGTTTCACAAAGAGAGGTAATCTAAACTCAGAGTCAGTTACTATGGCAACTTACTCTGTGAACCTAACCTGCTGGCGAGCAGGTTTTGTTCGGGAAACTCAGAGTTTCCTCTGGGTCTCCACCCCTTTTTAAAGTGAAAGGTGTTTAATACCTCATTTAATCTTTCAGTACATTCATAGATTGCACACGTTTC